AAATCCTTTTTATTAGGAATAGGATACCTGATCCATTTTAAGACTTTATTAAGGGTTTATAATTTATAACTAGTCTTGGTATTCCCCTTTCTTGTTCAGAATGTTTATTTACATAAAAGGCAGTGCATGACCATGGAGATTTGGAAGGTTGTATTAGTTTTTTATTTAATAAGGAAGTTAGTTTTCTTTTTTACATATATTTAAGTATTCGAAATTCATTTGACAAGGTCTTGCCTTGGTAGGAATCTGTTTTTCATTAAAGTCTTCCTCATAAGGAAGTGTAACTATATTTTTTCCTTTCCCAAAAAGCATTAGGATGATCATTACATATTTTCAAAGAGAATTGATTTGTTAAAAATTTAATTTTTTCCTGTAACTTAGGTTGTTCTAGTTGTTCATCTATTTGAACATTTCTGATTTCTTCTTTCAGAAAATTTATTTGGTTTCTTTTTAAATTCAACTCATTGACCCAGATAGATAAGGGTCCGAGACAAAATTTAGTATAACGGGTTGATTCTTATAAGATCCTATGATTTTATCTTTGTCAATAGTTAGGGGTAATATCATCTCTAAAAAGGGATTTCCTAAGATCATAGTATTATTACTCATATTTTTAATTACCGTGAAATTAATAGGTATACAAACATTTTCTGTACAAATTTTTGCATCTGTTAATTTATATCTAATATCTAATTTAGAAACCTGATACTTCTCTTAACGTATGTGTTGATTTTTGAAAATATTTAGTAGGTATTAAACCTTCTCTTATACAATTTAAATCTGCACCACTATATTAGGGCAACAAAACTTCTTTGGTAATTATAAGTAATAAATAAATTAATTGTGACATGCCATTTTCTAGATATTACCAATTCCATGGACTGAAGGAAATTGTCATTACTGGTACCAATATCTTGGTTATTTTGTAATTTTTCTAATTTGTTAATTCTTTGATTGCTTATTAGCTGGTCATTTTTTATCTTAGATATATCCTGTTTTAGGTTTTGAATTTCAAGCTGTAAATCTTGTACTGTAGTGGTGTATTCGCGGAATTTTATTTCTTCTTTCTTTTAACATATCATGAACGTTTTTCATGGAATATATCCCTTCTTCTTGTGTACTCTGTTCCTTAGTATTTAGATTTTCTATTATTTTTTGCCTGATTTCTGGATCATTTATTTCTTTTAATAAGTTTGCAATATCATTACTAATTACATTTATAGTTAATTCATCTTTGAATTGAGAGACTGTATTAGGTATAATTGGTGGTCTATGTTACATGAACATTGTTCTGAATTATCACAATTACATTCAATTTCTTCAGATTTTGACGAATAATCAGAATCATATTCTATTATGTTTATATCAGAATCTTCGTCTGAGAGCTCCTCTTCATCTGACGAATTATCTATCAAATTTATTAATTGTATTTTTATATCCTCACTTATATTCATATATTAATTTGTTTTTTTATTTTTTTATTCCTGCATTTATTAGCATAATGTCCCATTTTCCCGCATGAAAAACAAGTAGGGGGTTTTTTATAATCTTTTCTATTAAATCTTTTTTTAATATGTTTATCTTTTTTATTAGGATCACTATGTTTTCTCTTATAATATTTTTTCTTCTGTTGAAACTCTTTTTTCTGTTTCCTCCTATTGTTATTAGTTTGTATTCCGAATTGATCACAAAATTCTCCCAATTGTCTTTTTTCATTAAGATGTTGGGTTTTAATTTGGTAATTTAGTTTTATTTCACTACATAAGGCTAAACCTTCCTGTATACAAGTTCCTATCAATTTCCCATACGTATAATCTTCATAAGGAATTGTATTATCTATTCTTAGTTGGTTTTTAACTCTTTCAGCAAAAAGATTTGGTAAACCATCTATGAATTTGGATTTCCAGTAAACACTATTACAATCATTAAGTTCCATTACTCTACTTAAGAAAGTGTCTTTATACCATCGAAAAGATGTAAGAGTTTTACAAAATAGTCCATTTAATAGAGTACGGATATTTTCAGAATTATCTGACCATCTTCCTGTAAAATGTTCTATTATGGTACAAGTTAGAGTATAAACTACATTAGGAGTGGTTATTCCATTTTCTTTTTTAACTGTATTAAGAATAGCTTGTTGTGTTTTTTCATCCACATAATTGTCCCACCAGCCTTTTAATTGGCCAGTAAATCCGGCAATTAACATATTAGCCACTTGTTTATCACTATTTCCTGTATTTTTAGCAATTGTACTATACATTAACATTCTATGAATCATGTTATATATTTGTCTTTCAGTATAACCATCTAAATTCCATTCGTAAACATTTTTACCACTATAACTATTATTAATTTCATATTCTTGTTCCTCATGTAGGACATCTTGGGGGCTCGGTCTTGGATAATAATATAATCTTTGAACAGGTTTTCTAGCAAATTTGCTATCATAATTGTTAATTTTGTTTATTTGAGTATTATCCGAATCATTATCTGAGTCTTTATTTATAGTATTAATTTGTAATTTTTCATTTGTTCTTGCAGAATATCTAGCATATAATCATAATTTTTAAGTTTATAACCCAGTAATATTTGGTGGGGGTTGAATAGTAGCATTTATTTGTTGTTTTTTATCTTTTTTCTGTATTATTATATCTTTATTGTTAATGGGTGAATTTATATTTCTAATTTTTTATGTAAGTCCATTAACTGTTCTCCTAATATTATGGAATATAAATTATGGAAATTTAATTGTTGAATCATACTATTAATATGATTGACATCTATTGTAAGAGTCTTTTCTTCAAAAAGTTTTTGGTAAGCCGAAAATTTTATAGTAACATTGTTATTTGTAATGGTAAAAGGGACTTGTGGTGGAAATATACTTGTTATTATTTTGTCTCCCGATAGAGTATAATCTCTTCTATGTTGTGAATATTATGTAAAAAAGTATAAACAAACCAAGGAATAAAATGTATAATTTGATTTATAGAGGATAAATATTCATAAAATCTATTTTGTATTTCTTGTAACTCTTCTTTAGAATAATTTTTAAATAACCATTCTTTAAAAAATATCCATTTATTCGAATAAAATTCTTCTGAAATATTTTTCTTGCCTGAGAACCAGGACTAAAATCTATTTTTTCTTTAAATCCATTAAACTGTAAAATTCATTTCAGAAGGAGTAGATGCCTCCGCTTCATACACAATATCATCATGTATATTTAAATTGTTTATCTTTCTATTATCAACAGAAGCACGAGTAGAGGGAATTTCTACGTTTATAATCTAGTGGTGATATGTATAAATGTGAAGATCTTGCAGATCTTGTTCGTTTTATTAGGTCGTTATTATACTCTATTTCTTTGTTAAACTCAATAGTAACAACGCCATCAGAAGTTTGTATAATACTTTCTATATTATTATTTATAAAGGTGTAGGTGGTATATTATTTTCTAAAATCCAGTGTTGGGGAAATTTTATTTCCTCCCATTTTATAGCTTTTCTAGTTGTAATTTTTGACACATCAAAATTACTTTCTATTAAAATTGTCTCATTTATAGGTTTAACTATCTTACATTTAGGATTCATAGTTTTTAATGGTTTATAATATATACGATAACATATACATATTACTTCTGATCCTGGTAAATAATTATAACCATGAGTTTTGACGTTTAATGTTAAGGCTTGAAAAATATTTTTATCAGATAAAGAAAGCTGTAAATTTGGGTAGACATTAAAATATACCGGTCCATGAGACAAGCTAGATTCTATTATACCCATTAAAGATTGTTTCCAATTTTTATTTCTAGCATCCCTAAGAACTGCTAAAAAACTTTCAGGTAATCCCTGTAGTGTTAATGGTTTAAAAGCAATTTGCACCAAACCAATATGCAAATAATTATAAATATGTTTATATCTATTTATGTCTTGTGGAGTTATTAACTGAACTGTCATGTCATCTTCATTCATAGTTAAATTTTCTTCTGTAGTTTTAACAGTTTGGATAAAACCTAATTCTTCAAAAGTTCCTAATTCATATATAAATTTAGGGTTGATACTAGGAATTGTCCATTTATTAAGAAGGTCTAAATTCTTTGGGACTTCATATTCTTCTATTAACTGATTTTTAATCACCTGCTTATTACTATTTTTGAATCTACTGAATATACTCATGAAGAGTAAAATAAATGAGGTAACATCACATAGTATTCCATGGCTCTGATACCAAAATCAAGCAGGACCATAAGCAGATAACAAAATTTTTAGAACTTTGAAAAATAAAAACAAAAAGAGTTGGGTGAGATAGGCGAGTCAATGAGTAAAACGCTTTTTGTTTTTATTTTTCAAAGTTCTAAAAAAAAAAAAAAAAAAATTTTGGAATGGAAAAAGGCAAAGTCGTGTTTTATTTTTCAAAGTTCTAAAAAAAAAAAAAAACTCTTTTTTTTTTATCATTTGCCTTTTTCCATTCCAAACTCTTTTTGTTTTTATTTTTCAAAGTTCTAAAAAAAAAAAAAAAAAAAAAAAAAAAAAAAAAAAAAGGTCTGGAATGGAAAAAGGCAAAGTCGTGTTTTAGCCCGCTTTTGTGGCCACGTGCCGTTTTAGGGCGTTTTACTCATTGACTCGCCTATCTCACCCAACTTTTTGTTTTTATTTTTCAAAGTTCTAAAAATTTTGTTATCTGCTATGGTCCGCTTGATTTTGGTATCATATATATATATATATATATATATATATATATAATATATATTATATAATATATATATATATATATTAATATATATATATATATTATTTTATTTTTAAAAAAGAACTATATGCAATATGCATGCTTGTCGTTGAAGTGTACATATTCCAACCAAGTCAAACTAACGCGGTTTCCACCTCCTTAAGACCTTAACATGCATCCCACTCTTTTTCCTTAAACCCTAACGACATAAATAGCCCCTCGATATGCATTTCATTTGATCGAGCTCTCCATCTTAACAATACAACACCATGTATTCCACCTCCATTTCCACTCTCACGTTCTTTGCTTCTTCCGTCCTCATCATCTCAGCCTTATTCCACCCATGCTCCGCCACAATCCCGCGGAAACTAGCCCTTGTACAAACACCAGCCACTGTCCTCAAATACCACAAAGGATCAGTTCTTCATGGCAATATCACCGTTAACCTCCTTTGGTACGGCAAATTTTCTGCCATCCAGAAAACCATAATCATTGATTTTCTTGAATCACTCAACTCCCACCTCCCAACTCCTCCCTCCGCCGCGGCATGGTGGCAAACCACAGCGAAATACAAAGGTGGGTTGCGGAGTATTCAGCTAGGGAAACAGACAGTGGACGAAAAATGCTCGCTTGGGAAATCACTTAAAGATTCTCATCTCATTTATTTGGCTTCAAAAAATAAAGGTTTTAATCAAATCAGCTTGGTGTTGACGGCAGCCGACGTCGGTGTCGCTGGGTTTTGCATGAACCGATGTGGGACTCACGGGTCAACTCGGGTGAACAAGGGCCATAACTTTGCGTACGCGTGGGTTGGTAACTCGGTGACACAGTGTCCGGACCAATGCGCCTGGCCCTTTGTTCAACCGACATTTGGTCCGAAAATGCCGCCGTTGGTGGCGCCAAATGGTGACATCGGCGTCGACGGCATGGTGATTAACATCGCGACGGTTATGGCGGGAACGGTGACGAACCCGTTTGACGGCGGGTATTTTCAAGGTCCGGCCACTGCTCCGTTGGAAGCAGTTACTGCATGCACCGGAATATTCGGGTCGGGTGCGTTTCCTGGGTACCCGGGAAAGGTCTTGGTGGATAAGAAGACGAAGGTTAGCTATAATGTGCAGGGTGTTAAGGGGCGTAGGTACTTGTTGCCGGCTATGTGGGACCCTGACACTTTGACGTGCAAAACACTTGTGTGATCTTCGAGGATGACTTGTCAATTTTAAAAATTCTAATTGTTTATTGTTTATTAAAATTAAAATTTACATGAATTATAATTTATAAATATACTTGTTATATTTGTGTTTTAACTTAGAAAATTATATATATATATATATATATATATAATATATATATATATATATATAGTCTACCTAATTAAAGTGACTCCAACGAATAAAACATAGCTTAATGTTGTTTATGGAGGTTAGTTTATTTATTTATTTATTTATTTTTTGGAACGACAAATCTAATATAATCCTAAATTACTCATAAATCCAACTATATTTCTAAAGAAACTTGAACCTCCAACTTCAAGTAGGGAGGACAACACCTGATACCGTTGAGTTATAAGCCCTTTGGTTATGGAGGTTAGGTGGTGCGCGGAAACTGATCTCAAAAATCGTTAAGAAAGTTTTATTTCCAAAAAAAAAAAAAAATTAAAACAATAAATAAAGTTTTTTTTTAACCTTTTGAATAATATATCAATTTAATTTTATAAAGTTTAATGTATTATAAGAATTAAATGATAAATTTATATGGAAATTAAAATATTAGTGTAACATTCCTTTTAACCTTATACCATTCGGTGCCCTAAATAAGGTCTAATGTCAAGCTTAGAGATGCTCCAACAACATTTGATGGTCTTGCATGGCCATTAAGTGCCCAACACTAAAGACCCTAACCTATTAATCCATTAAGACCATGCATAAGAAAGAACTAGTGTCAAGGATTACATTTTTATAACTAAAGAGGCTCTGAAAACCATTGAAAGGGCAACTCAAATGGATTAGAGTAACCCCTACTCATAATACCAAGCTTAGGGGACCAAAAGAACATAAAATCATGCCCAAAACAAGATCTAAGTATAACTTCACCAAGTTCAGAACTTTATACCTCCAAGAGATACCAAATGATGGTGTGATTCTGGATCTAAGGTGCTTCACTCCTCCAAGATGGTCTCTACCTCCTTCCTTCTTCCTCAAAGGCACAAAACACACACACTCAAGCTAAAAAATGCTCACAAGGTAGATTAGGGTTTGCAAAAACATTTTGAGAGGATAGAGGCTGATGAAAGGAACCAGGTTTGAGAGTTAATGAAGAATAAATACGGTTCAAAACCTTGGATTAGGGGTTACGTCCAGACGAGTTACGCCAAGATACACTAGGAGTACGCTACGCGTACTCCAAAACGACGACTTTTTCCTTTTATGGGCCTTACGCCCAACGTACTCTGGGACCAATTTGCAAGCAAAACTCATTCCAAGGGGATAAAAGGTAAATACTTGAAAATCGGAATGTTACACTACGTAGGCTTCTGTGTGTCTTGATAGTTATCCTTATGGGACTGCATCTAATGAACACCAGGGAAGTCACGATGTACAAGATCAACAAATACTAGGTTAGAAAGTTATACCGAGGGTTGGACCTCGATATTGCTCTCTGATGCCTAAATTAGACATTGCTTTGTGTTGTATTTTATAAATTTGCCTTCTTACCTACTGCCCTTTTTTTTGTAAGAAGAACTTACCTTTATATAGGTGAGGCTCGGTCCGGTTTATGGTTTTCTTACATGTATCATGTGTTAATCCATAGGTTACAAGGGTAGAACCCTTTAATAAAATATGATTTCTTTTTCTTGTTTCCTTGGGTGTTGTTTGGTATAATATTGTACGGAAGATATGCAATTATTATATTGGTGGCTAGCTCGGTAAAGCGGTGGCCAACCTGTATAATCTGTATTGGGCTTTATTGTTGGCTCTTGGTCTATCCCGGCCTGATTTAGGTGTGGGTGTAGCCCATACCCCATTAACTACTGGCACGAGCTAGATGAACTTCTCCCTCTAAGAAAACCTACATCCCATAATTGTAATTCCATTTAGATCGCATGACATTTTCTGATAATACGCATTTTATACTTTATTCATACTTTTATTTCAGAAACATTATTGTATTATCATGTTGTACACATGCCTTCTCTTATCATATTTAATAAGCATTAAACCACACACTCAAAGGCGGAGCTAGAATTTTAGGAAAAGGGAGGCTTATTTATCGGTGTTACAAGTAAACCTTGACCAGGATGGATGCAGAGATGTCATTGAGTGGTTAGGGTTTTTTATTCTAGAAATTTTCTTTTTTTTTTAGCATTTTGTGTTTTTTAGCGTCTTAAAAATCTGTTGTGCATTTTTCACGCACCAAAGTATTTTAAATTTTTGATAGAATCAAATGTGATTCTGATTTTAGAATTTGAATTTCAAATTTAGATCATCTTTAGTAAGACTTTTTTGAATGAGAAATATAACATCCCGATGTTCAGGTACTTCTAACTCATTCCATTTCATGATAATTAATCAAGTGGTTGCAATCTTGGGGTTTAGACACGGCGTGTTGGAGGCACCAACACAGCGTGTCGAGATATTTAGAGGCGCATGTTTTGGTTGGGCAACACAACGTGTTTTCCCTCTGAACATGGTGTGTTGACCGCTGCATGTGAAACCCTAATATTCCGGGTTTATTCTCTTATTTAAGGAATATGGGAGCTAGGGTTTGTCCACCCTCAGCCTCCATCTTCCTTCTCAAGCTCAGAAAGAAACCTTCATCTTTTCCTCTCCCATTTATGTAGATAGTTGGTGTTTTGAAGGAAGAAGGTGAAAGAAGGAAGCAAGGATTCAACTAGCAAGCATCATACTTCAATGTAGCACTCTCCTAGACCATTGTAAGTGTCCAAGTCCCGATTTTTACCATTCATAGTCACTAGATCTTGAGTTATGCCCCTTTTCTCTTTGTTATGAGGTTGATGCAATGGAGGGATCTCATAAAGTTTGCAACTTTATGAATCTCGAGGTCAAGGAGACCTTGTAGTGGCTTGGATTTGGTTTCAACCAAAGTTTTGATGCCATGCATAGAAAGTAGGTCATGAATTCCCTTTTTCACCTAATAAGGGTTTAAGACATGCATTGGACATGCATGTCTTAAAAATAACCAATCTTTGGAATGGTTTAGGTGGTTGAACCACTTCTGGAAGGAAGGGACTTTGGATCTTAAGGATTGAGGACTTTATGGTTAAGCCCTTTCATGGTTAAGTATGTAGATCGGATTTATGGACCTTTTTGCGGTCCCAAAGGATAAAGTTAGAAACTTTATCCTTCCTAACCGCATTCCTAGTCCAGATTTGAGCCTTGGAGCTCTTAGGGTCGAAAAGGTAGTTGAATATCTTAAGTTGCTGGGAATATGGCGAACACGGTGTGTTGGCTGAAGTTTTCCCGCCTATAGAATTGTTCGCGGAACACGGGGAGGTCAAAAGGGAACATGACGTGTTGGGTCAATGTGGACTGTTGACCTTGACTGTTGACTTTGACTTTGACCAAGTTTGACCCTGAGGGTATTTTGGGTATTCTGGGTTTTGATGTAATTGGTCATTTGATGGTCGTAGGCATTTGAGTTGAGAGCTGAGATTCGGAGTCGGACCTTATCAGTTATGTGTTGCTTGTGAGGTAAGTTTTCCTCAATGTACTTGCGGGTTGAAGGCACCAATGTCGGCCCTTGGATATATATCCTGTTGTGCATGTTATGTTATAGTGATCTGTTAGATCAGTATCGTGTTAAATAAGATGATGCTATGCTTAGTGATCTGTAAGATCTGTTTATTTGTTTTCTAGCTGGTTAATAGTATGGTTATCTGTATTAGGTGCACATGTTTGGTTGGTGGTTAAGGCTTCACTGCTTTGTGTGTAAGCCAACAGGTCGGGGCATTCCAACCCGATGGTTGAGGGCCTAGGGTATTCCATCTTGAGGATGATTGGACCCATAGTATGTTGGCATTCCAACCCGATGGTTGAGGGGCATGGGGTATTCCAACCCCATGCTTGATTGGACCCATAATATGTTGGCATTCCAACCCGATGGTTGAGGGGCCTGGGGTATTCCAACTCGATGGTTTACTGGACCCATAGTATGTTGATATTGTATATGTGTTATTTGTTGTGTTGGTATTTTGGGGGAACTCGCTAAGCTTTGGGCTCACAGTGTTGGGTTATGTTGTAGGTACCTCGAATGATCGTAGGAATGCAAAGGCTTGATCGTGCACCTCCTCATGTTGTGTTTTGTGATTTTTAGGAAAACTCGAATGTTTAAACTATTTTGAAAACCACAATGTAAACAATTATGATTTCTGGTTGGTTGAAAAAGTTTTTAATTTTTATAATTTTTTACGGATGTTACAAGAAACACTTAAAAAATCGGTATTATACATCTTGTTTTGTTATGTTATAATCTATTTTAAAAAAATGGATTTTTTTCATTTTGAAAAGAGAGAATCCACAAAATGGGACCATACAAGTATTATATGAAAGAGAAGGTATATTATTTGATATTTAAAGTAAAATTTTAAAGAGACAAGGGTGGCTGTAGTTTATGTTAACTAGAAAGCAATCAAATATAATTGATGAGCTACTAGTATTTACATTACATGATTGAAAATGTTGGGGGTGGCCAAGCACCGGCTAGTCCCCCCACTAGCTCTGCCATTGCACAAATTTTTATACACCTATTTATACATGCATTAGGATATGAATGATTCCAAACATATTCTTAGGTTTACAACAACCCTAAATCGGTGTTTACTTCTCGTTTTAAACATTCACTGAAACACACCAAAAATAAGGTCCAAAAATTTCATTTTTAAAACATTAATAAAACCATAACTCATAAATTATAATAAATAAAATCATAATCCATGTGTCACAAAACGTCATATCAAAAGTTGTATCAAAATCATATGACAAAATATCAGAGTCTAAAACGCCCTAGGCTAAACTATGGTGTGTGCGCTGCAATCATCCTGAGCCCTTCCCTTTGCTAGTGGAAGTACCTGAAAACAAAACTGTAAACCGTAAGCACGAAGCTTAGTGAGTTCCCCCAAGCTACCACATACCATACACATAATCACATACTAGGCCTAGCCCACTGCATCGGCCCC